TTATCAGGAAGCACAAACACCTACACCCACTCTCAGGTGGAAGGAAGCTCCGCCCTCTGCCAACAGCTCTACCTGAGTTCTCAGCTGGCAGCCAGCACCAACTGCCAGCCACACATGTGAGGCAGTTTTGGACCTTCCAGCCAACTCACTGTCCACAGACCATCACATGAAGTAGAGCTGTCTGCCCAGTGCACAGAAATGAATTGTTGTTGTTTTAAGCAGGAGGCATGCCCTTTAAATGAAGCATTTATTGTTGGAGTAGAACCTCAAACCTAATGCATATCAAGTTAGCCCTCCATTCATCTATTCCTTTATTTGTCCAAATGAGAATTACTGAACAGCTTTTCTGCTAGATGCGCAAAGATCAAATGTAGACATATCTCGCATTATGGAACTCAGTACCTGGACAGGGAGATAGACAGTAACAGAACATCATATTTTGAATCTTAATGGTTGTTGTGCTATTGAAACAGGACATTAGGCCCTGGCTCTGGAAGCCTCAGGATAGGGAACTGGCCTCCTCAGAGAGGTTAAAAAAGGAAGTGAGTACTAAACTCATAAATGCAAAGGAAGGTTCAAAGCCACCTAGGTAGAGAGGATAGCAAGAGTCCTTCACATAAATGGCCCAGCATATGCAAAGCCTGTGTGGCAGGAGGAAAAGTAATATACTCAAGCTCTGTATCTAGATCTACATCATGGCTCAAGATAAGGCTGGGACCCGGCACCAGAGGCTCACACCTGTAATCCTAGCTACTCAGGAGGCTGAGATCTGAGGATTACGGTTCAAAGTCAGCCCAGGCAGAAAAGGCCGTGAAACTCTTATCTCCAATAAACAACAAGAAAACCGGAAGTAGCGCCGTGGCTCAAGAGGTAGAGCACTAACCTTGAGCTGAAGAGCTCAGGGACAGCACCCAGGCCCAGAGTTCAAGCCCCACGACCAACAAAAAAACAAAAACAAAAACAGATAAGGCTGGTAGCAGGTAGGAGTCAGGCCTATAAGACTCTTGCAATCATCCTAAGAGTGGACCTAACAAGAAGAGGTGAACAAACTAATTTCATTCTGAGCAGATTTTTCTCTTCTATCCCCAATGTGAAGAGGAATAACAGATTACTTTGTGCAAACTGTATATGCAGTGACACCCATGGGTATTCAGCACTCAATGAGGAAGGTCCTTATTACATTTCACTGTATTATTTGCATACACCTCTGTTTCTCAAACCAGACTACACAATCTTTTCAGCACAAAAGCTGTACCTCAATTATCTTTTCATTTTTTTTTTCCCCTCACAATAGCTAACACAGTGCTGGACCCACAGCAAACACCACTAAAGTGCTACCTAGAAATGGAAAACACATATAAATAATCCATTCATACTAGCCTGTAGAATGCAATCTCCTGGGAGAAAAATTCTATGGCCACACTTGGAAAGCCTTTGCAATGATAGCAATATTTTTAAGGAAACCTTGCTGTAAAAATATCATTGTCTTATTTTAGACACTCTTGAACGTCATCCTCAATGAAGAGCAAAAACGGTACATCACCTTTCCATAAAGTGGCTGGCTTTGTATACACTTTGAAGATCATTTCTGGGTCACTCATATATTTCTCTCCTTTCAGTGACAAAAATATTTAATCTTCTCACCTTTCCTCAAAGAAGCCCTCTAGCTGCTCCCTGGATTTTTTCCAAAACCTTCTAAATTGTGGAGGCCAGCAATCCAATAGACCAGGAAACAAGGTAAAAGATGCTTGTAGGACTTGTGAGCAGTCCTTAATGTGGCGGCAGGCTCTTTCCTTTGTCTTCTTATTTTCAAGCTAATTCCATGTGTGCATATGTGTATGTGTGTATATGTGTATGTGTATTTACACATACACATAAATACCCATAATGACACTCTTCAAAGAACAAAGAAAGTTTCATTAAGTTTGCAAATGCCCTATCCTTCACCCTAGTCTTCACTGTCTAATATATCACATTGCTTTTTTTAAAAATTTTAGTGAAAGCTTTTCCTCTATATATGTTAATAATGTGAGCAAGAAAATAAGCAGCAGATTTTATTGGTGTTATAATTTGGATATGAAATGTCCCCCAAAGATTCCTATGTTGAAAGCTAAGTGTTCAGAGGTGTTAGGTGTTAATCCAATCACACATGAGGGTGGCCTTAAAGGACATATCTTGTCCAGTGTTCTCTCTCTCCTCCTCCTGCTCCCTCCCCTCTTGCTTTTCTTCAGCTGACTGGAAGAGAGCAAGACCACAAAAACAAAGCCAAGGGACCATGGTCTGATACCTGTGAAATGAGCCAGACTCCACCTTTGTGTTCTTTTGAGTTAATTTTCTCCAATACTTGGGACAGAAATCTAACAACACAATTAACATCTCCAGAATCTTCTTCCTGTACACAGGCACTAAACAGATAGAAATATCACCAAGAAACCCCATCACTTGCCCCACCATATCAAGCACTCTGATATCAATAAATCGCTGAGCATTTTAGGAAAACACAGCTTTACTAACTTAAACAATATTTTTTTTTTTTACAAAAAGGTTTTGGCATTTGGGTAAAAACTGTCCAATTTCATTGCAAAGATACTTTTAAGTCACATGTGTGATCTTCTTGTTTCATCAAAGAAATATAAATATTTTGATTTGTTTTGAAATCCTTATAGAAGTCTGTATGACACTACTTAAATTCTATCCTGTATAGGGTACTCACAAAAAAAAAGAGCTCAAAAACAAGGGTATTCTTTTTTTTGCACCAAACTAGAAAGATTATGTATAATAGTACTATAATGAACTCCTGAATTTATACCAATTTTTTGTATCAGTGAATCCCAGTTTCAGAAAATTTTATGGACTCTATTTATTCAAGACCTGTACTGATCCAAATAACTCTCTAGATAACTTTTACAATACTTGTGTGTGTGCGCACGTGTGTGTGTGCGCACGTGTGTGTGTGTGTCCATATCAAGGCTTGAACTAGGGCCTCATGCTCTTATTATTGTGCTTTCTAGCTCAAAACTGGCACCTTACCACTTGAAACACGCCTCCACTTCCAGCCTTTTGCTGGTTAAATGGAGATAAGAGTCTCACATGGGGCTGGGAAGGTGGCTCAGTGGTAGAGCGCTTGCCTTGCATGCATGAAGCCCTCGGTTCGATTCCTTAGCACCACATAAGCAAAAAGGAAAAAAAAGCTAGAAGTGGCGCTATGGCTCAAGTGGTAGAGTGTTAGCCTTGAGCTGAAGAGCTGAGGGAGAGGCCCAGGCCCAGAGTTCAGGCCCCACGGCTGGACCCAAAAAAAAAAAAAAAAAAAGAGTATCACAGACTTTTCTACCTGGGCTTGTTTCGAATCTTGACCTTCAGCTCTAGAATTACAGGCATGAGCCACCTGCACTCAATTTACTTTTTACATTTAAAGCCAGCTCACTTGACAAGAGCTTACACATATATTATTCAATCATTTACTGGCACAAATAAAGGAAATGCAAATATTAGAAAGAATATTATTTGTGCTCTGAAGACTAAAGCATTAGGTTAGTGCTGGTGGAGATAAACTCCAAAGCTTTAGTCAAACAGCTCACAGAACACACTGCTATATAATTAGTATTTCCAAGAATTTGCAAAAAGAAAACACTACCCAAAATAGGTATCCACAAAATAAACATTTGCAAGATGGTAAACTTTGAACGATGAACGATGGCTTTACCTTAACTAAACATACATAATCTAAGTGCAGCAAAGAAAGTAGAATACTTTTAGAATAAATCCAGCATCCAAAATGCATTTAAGTGGCGTACATGCTTAAGTGCTCCCTGAATTAAAGAACACTCTTAACAATTCCTGTGTGTACACAAAGTAAAATTGTGCACAGTAAGCATTATGCAAATAGGCTTTATAGACCATTTAGGAGAGGTGTGTGTCCCATTGTGAGTCCGGAGCCCATTCTGCACTCAAAATCTGTTTAAACAGCTGATCATCACAAAAGGAACAGCAGCACCCCTGCCACTCACAGGTTGGAAACCCATTATACGATGTTCTGAGCAACCTACAGAGAAAAGTACTCCTCAAGGTCACTCCAGCAGTCCACGGCAGAACCTGGTACAAAAAGCTTCCCGCTGCACCACCACAATCTTCCCAAGTCACCCAGAACGCGCACACCCAACAGTTTCTGCTCCAAAGAGAACCGCAGCAGGTGAACCACGCTCGCGTGATCGCCCTGATGCCGGCAGCTGGGGGGCTAGTTTCCCCCGGAGCACGCGGGCAGGAGGAAAAGGAAGGACCCGATTCCCGGTGCCAGGGTGAAAAGCATCTGAGCATCGCCGGCGAAGCTCGGGCCGTTGCCACCCGCACCAGGCAGCAAGAAGTCCCGAGTGTATTCGCCGAATTATGTTAAAGTTAGGGGAGCCCTCCAACGGCGTGATTTCTTCAGAACGCCAAGAGGTAGAGCGCCCGGGATCCAGCGCTTCACCCAGACCGGGCGTCCTCCAAATCCGCGCTCAAACTGCGCCCTAAGCAGGGGGGAACCAACCACAGAAGCGCTCCCGAAGTGAGCGCAAACTTTCAGCTCTCAGCGCCTTCCTTTTGCCCAGACCTTGGAGATCTCTCCCCAGACCCAGACCGCGAGGCCGGGCGCCGGGGAGCGTGTTCCAAAACGGGGACACATACCCGGAGCCCCGGATCCAACCAGGTCTCCAGCCTCCTCGAAATCAGGTTACACACACCATTTCAGGACGCTTCTCCACGCGCGCAAGGTACGGCCGGGGAAACGCCGCCACATTCGGGGTCCCCGCTGACTGGTGTCCACAAAACACAAACTTCCCGGAGCGGTGCGGAGACCCCGGGACCGCAACACCAGGAGTCCGGGCCACCGGGGCCGGCACGGGGGGTGGCGGAGGGGGGGGGGGAGACTGGGATGACTGGGACGACCCCGGACCCGAAATCTTGGGGCGCCCCAGACGTGCGCGCGGGGACGGGGGCGCGCTCGGCCCCCTCCCGCCTCCTACCTGTCTGAGGATGAAACTGGTGGAAGTGGTGCTGCCATCGGATCTCTTCAACCTGCTCCTCCGGGTCGTGGTGCCGCGGGCCACCTGCACGCGACACGCGGGGCCAGAGAAAGAAGGCAGTGAGGACCGCAGCGGGGAGCCGCGCGGCCGCCCCGGGGCGCGCGTCCCCCCGGGGTGGGTGGGGGGGAGACCGCTCTCCCGGGGAGGGAAGGGAGGTTCCCCCTCCAGCCGGCACCCGTGTCTCCCGGAGTCTCCCAAACGCAGCGCCCACCCCCACCCCCGCCCCCCACCCCCGCCCACCCACTCTAAGCCTCGACGGCCGAAAAGATTCCCGAGCAAGAGCGGCCCGCCGCCAGCACCCACCACATCCATTAACAAAGACTGTCGGGGTGCGGGGTCCGAGTCCCCGGCATCGGCTGGGGGAAGCTGCGGGCTCGGGAGCCGGAGCGCAGCGGCCCGGGAGAGGAGGGGCGGGAGGCGCCGAGCCGAGGAGGGTGGGGGAGCCGGGCCGCCGACTCCGGGACTGGGGGCGCCCGGCGCTCCCCGCACAAAGGCGGGGCGCTGGGACGGCGGGGGCGGGAGGAGGAAGAGAGGGCGGTACCTGCGCGGTGGGGGAGGGCGGCCCGTCCGCGGTCCCGTTCTTGGCGTAGGAGGAGGACATGGTTCAGAGCCGCGGCATGGCCCGCTGGGGCGCCGGGGGCGCGAGGCCGGGCTGCGGGCGGGGAGGGGCGGGGGAGGGCGCGCACGCGGGACCTCCCCACCCGGCTCCGGGCCCCGCGCCGCCTCCCGGGCCGCCTGCCCGCACTTCGGGTGAGCGCGCCGCACCTTAAAGGGCCCGCAGCGGGGTCGCCCCCCTCCCCCAGCGGGGGTCCCAAGGAGGGGGCTTCTCCGGATCTCCGCCGCCCGCCCGGGTGGATCCGGAGACGCGCTTTCCCACCCCGTGAGCGCACTCCCTCGGAGCTTGCCAGAGGATGAAGGGAGGGGAAAAAAAAAATCTGGGATGGGGGTGGTGGGAGGATTAAAATAGTCTGCACAGTTTAAAATGAGACAAAGGTGGCACGGTTCATGAATCAGGACTTGGGGAGGGAAGCTGGTGCAGTGTGGCGGGGAGTGGGAAGGTGTGTGTGTGTGTGTGTGTGTGTGTGTGCGCGCGCGCGTGTGCGTTTGTGCGCGCGCGTGTGTGTGTTGCTGCAACGGAATTTTAAAAGGGCAGAAGCTGAACCTTCCCTTCCCGACTTCACTCCTCAGCCCACTGTGCTAAGATGAGGGGTTTTCTGGTTTGCTTTCTTTCTTTTTTTTTTTTTTTTCCTTCTTCTTTGTTAAGTCCCCTGTGTTTTTGTGTCCACCACGCAACTCTGGCCTCGGAGCCACGAGCGAGTGACACACGCCCAGGCAGCCTGGAGACCCCTGGCCCGCAGGTCTCTGACTGCAGATGCAGCCCCACCAGAGACCCACGTGTCCTAAGGAGTTTTGAAGGTCACATTAGACCTGCTAAATAGCAGGAGTTGGCCACGCGCCTCCCGTGTGACACAGAGCTGTTTCCAAGGGAGGCAACTCATCTCTGAAACCAAGACCCTTTCTTTTCCTCCTGCAGATTACCTATGGAGCTCCATTTGAGATCTACTTAAAAGGAAGGGATCATGGAAATGAGGAATTTAAAGAAATAGGAAAGGGGGAAGAGAATAATATGTAAATTTACGAAGCAGACTCTGTTTTACTATCGTTACTGCAGGAGAAAGTCCTCATTAGAATATACGTTACATTCCAATGTATATATTAAGAAATATATACATTGGCATTGGAGTGTCTGATTGTTTATCCGTTTATCTGTGGGACGAGCTGCCATGTTCAACAATCGCGTTGCCTTATCACAATCCTGCTTGTATTTTATTGTCCACCTTACACTTCCTTATAATTTTACCCCTTTCACCTAATCCAGACTTTTTGCAAGTCTCAAAACTAGTCTCCTGGCCTCTACGTTCCCTAGTGTCCATGTGTATGTATGTATACACACATGTCACACAATTCATTCCTACACACTACAGGCCCAGCCATTTTCCTAACACCTCTTCTGTCCAAATAACTCTTTACTAAGATACAGTCCAGTTCCATATTCCAATGCCTGCTGGCATTTCTGGACATCTACAGCCTTGGGTTTCCAGATAGATCTTTCTGTAGAAACAGTCCAGTGTGGAAGCAGTTATTTCTATACACTGCTGCTACCAAAACATACCAAACACCACCTCACTTCAGTACATCTTGCTTTCCTTTGTCTTTTTGGAATACACCCTTCACCCACCCCACACATCTCGCTGGATCCTAGCTTCTCCAAATGTACCTGAGCTCTCCACTGAATCCTCAAGACCACTGCAACCCTGCATAGATCTACTGCCTCTGAAAAACTAGAGCATTTATTCTCTGGGCACTTGGCATAGACTGCTTTGGTTTTATTAGTTCTCTCTGTGTGTGTGTGTGTGTGTAAATCTAATTTCCAAAATGATTGTTAGTTCTTTGCCTCTTAAAACGCCCATATCTTTCACATAGTAGATAACCCATAAAGTTTATGGGGTAAAGATTTGTCTAATAATACAGAACTTTGTGCTTTAGTTACCATTAACCCAATCCATTTTTAGTTGTGAGTCATTTTCATAGTTGGCACCTAATCAATATACATAGAATGAATTATGATGTGGGCACTGGCACTTGAATTTTCTGTGTTTCTGCTGCCCATAGTCTGGCTGAGTTATCCAAACAGATTCCATAGCAGGCACTAGCAAGAGGAACTCTGTTTACCTGCCTCACAGCCCAAAGAGTAAAAATGATCAATATGAGCACTCGTGACTATTTAAATCTTTGGACATGGTCCTAAGTGTACATAGCAATGGAAAACACTTGTTCAAAAAGAATAGTGTGAGAGTCTGTTGTATTTGAGCCAACGCCTGTCCCCTCCCTCCTTGCTTCCAGTTCAGTGAAGAAAGCCCACCTCACACAGGTGCAGCCAAAGACTCTAGGAGACCTGGGAGGAGCAGGACATCAGAATTCATCATCCTGTCCCCAACTACCTGTTGCTAAGACTTAAGTTGTCAGCAAGTGTGGAAGAGAGGAGCAGAAGCTACCTTCATTCCAGCCCCACACATGTAACAGAGGTTTGGCTCAATACCACAGAGAATACTGAGGCCCTGAGGGACCTTGCTCCTGGCTCATAGAGTGGCAATCAGGGGACATGAGATTCCAGTGTGGAAGGGGCCTATCTACCAAGAACTCAGCTGCTAAAATGGTAATGTCACCATTGTGCACCTACCCTAAGCCCAAGTGAGAATGAAGTTGGGCGCTTCATATTATATATTTTAAAAAAACTCAAAATGGAACCAAAATCTAAATGAGACTTATAGATAAAAATTGTTAGACGAGATGAGAAGGGCAAGTCATGACCTTAGACTTGAAAGTAGATTCTTAGACTTGATACCAAAAGCACAAACAATAATCACAAAAAAGTAAGTTAGATTTCATCAGAATTTAAAACTTTGAGTTTATAAGAGTACCACCAAAAATATGAACAGACAACCTACAGACTAGGTGAAAAAAATTTAATAAGCAAAGGATGGATATTTCTCCTAAGAAGCTATATCAATAGACCAGTATGTGAAAAAAAAAAAAAACCTCAACATCATAGTCATCAGAAAAAAATACAAAACAACACTACAACAAGCTATTTAAGACAGTTTGATTGTTCCTTCTAAAACTCCTGTTGGAAATGAATTGCTATTTTAACAGTATTACAACATGGAATTGTAAAGAGGTAATTAGTCTGTAAGGGCTACATTCTCATTGTGGTGATTGGTGCCACTACAGATGGGCGACTTTTAGCTCCCTTTTGCTCTCTCTGAGCACATCTGCCTCCTGCCATGTGATGCCACAGCAGGAAGATACTTATCTGAGGTTGGCACCATCATCTTGAACTTTCTCTTCTAGACCTATGAGAAAACTTGCTCATTATAAATCATCCAGCATAATATATTCTGTTATAGTATCACAAGGCAAACTGAGACCACTACCACTTTGTGTGAACTGAAAGAAATGTAAGTGGCAATAATAAGTGTGGGCAATGATGTGGAGAACTTAAAATCATATAACACATTGTTAAGGGGAATATAGAATAATAACTCTGCTTTGAGTCTGGTAGTTACTCAAATGGTTAAATATAGAGTTATCATATGATTAAGCAATTCCACCTCTCAGTATGTACCTAAGATAAAAGAATGTATACATCCAAAACTGTGCAAGAATGCTTATTGCAGTATGTTAAGAGTAGCCAAAAAGTAGAAACAATCCAAATGTCCACCAACTGATAAAATATAGATAAATAACATCTGGTATATCCACAGAATAGAATATTATTCATTCATAAAAAAGAAATACAGTGATATATGTTACAATGTGAATGAGCCTTTAAAAATAAGGTTAAATTTTGAAAGAAGTCACTCATAAAAGGATATAGATTTTGTATGATTTTTTTGTTTGAAATGTCCAGAGTAGGCACATGTAGGCACATGGGTTAAGTGCGTACGTCAGGAAAGCTCAGGAAATATCTCAGGGATAACTAAAGGGCATAAAGACTTCTTGACGTAAACGCTCTGAAAACTGAAAGTAGTGATGGCTTACTACCTGTACAGATACTAAAAACAACATTGGGTACAGTGGTTCATGTCTGCTGACCTAGTTACTAGGAAAGCTTAGGTTCCATTCGGCCTATGAGCTCAGGACCAGCCTGGACAACACAGCAAGATCTTGTCTTAAAGTAAAATGTTAAAACATTGAATTGTAGCTTTGTGCCAGTGGCTCAGAACTATAATCCTAGCTCGTCAGAAGGCTGAGTGAGGTCTGAGGGTCAAAGTTTAAAGCCAGCCAGGACAGGAAAATCTACAGGACTCTTCTCTCCAGCTAACCAGCAAAAAAGACAGAAGTAGAAGTGTGGCTCAAATGGTAGTATACCAACTAAAAAGGTCTGTGAGAGTACAAGGTCCTGATTTTAAGACCAAGTACTGGCACCAAACAAACAGACAAAAACAAACAAACAAACCTAGACTTTAAAATCTAATCTAATGTGGTTTCTTAGAACTTGCTTCCCTTCCTTTTGTTTCTCCCTTCTGTTAATTCCCAGCACCACAGTGTAGTACATACCTTTGATATATAATATGATGATCTTCTTCCTCAAAGTCCATAACCCAAGTTGAATAGTGAGGGAAGCTACAGACAAATCTCAATAGATGACTGATGGGCTTCAGAACTCTAAAATTCCTCAAGAAGGAAAGTCTGAAAATTTGTGAGAGTAGTAGAGGCCTAAGGAGACAGAATGATTAAGTGTAATATGTGTCTTGGATGGGAATCTGGAATAGGAAAACACTGGAAATGTGAATGAACTAGAAACTTAGTTAATAACACGTGTCAATAAGAGCTAAGTAAGTATGCAAAATGTACCATATTAAGGTAAGCTGTTCATAGTACAGGACATTTGGTGCGGATTCTCTGTATTGTCATCACAATTTTTGAGGGAGATGGGAGTAGTCCTGGGGTTTGAAGTAAAGGCCTTATGCTTGTGAGGTAAGTGTTGTACTATTTGAATGATATTCAGTACTTTTTGCTTTAATTTCCTTTGTTTTTGCCCAGGGTTAGCCCCAAACCTTGAACCTTAGAATATCTAAATCTTGAGTAGCTGGAATCAGCTACCATTCATAGCCCTACAATCTTTCTTTAACTCTAAACTACTTGAAAATAAAATTTATTTTTTAAAATCGTACCATTTTTAGAGCTGAAAGAGAATTGATAACCTTTTAGAATTAACCTCACACTTAGCAAATGAGGAAACTGAAGATTGGATGCTTTTGTGACTAGCT